TGGAGAGGGAAGTGGCTGAGGCCGTGAATAGGAGTTACCAGGTGTGTCAAAGACAGTAGATGAGAAATAACGCCATGGGGAGATGTCAGAGGAGCAATGGGGAGATGGATGGTGGGGGTGAGTGGAGGAGTGGGCATGTAGGGAGTGGGCATGTAGGGAGTGTCGGTGTAGGGAGTGGGCATGTAGGGAGTGGGTGGGTGGTGCAGCCCTCAAGTTAGCTCCACCGGAGGAGGAGGGCTCTGCTGTTCTGCCCCGATCTTCCTGCCCGTTCCCTCTGCTCCAGCCCCTTTCTGATCCCTGGGCCAGCCCTCACTTCTGCCCCCCCATGCCACTCACCTGTGGGCTCCCGGCTGCGGGCCTCCTGCAGGTAGCGCAATGCGCGTGCGTAGTCACCTAGGTGGTAGAAGGCAATGCCGGCGCGGTAGGTGGCCTTGAAATTGCCCTGCTGCTTCTCCAGCACCTTGAGACAGTACTCGCGCACGCGCTCGTAGTTCACCAGCTCTGACTGTAGCAGGCAAGCTGCAGGGACACCGGGGCCAGGGTTCTCAGAGCCTGGTGGCATCCTCAGAACCCACCTGACCATGAGGAGCCAGGGCTCCAGGCTACAGGGAACCCGGCCTAAGGGATTGCTCGGGCCACCAGGGGCGCCAATCTGCTCGCCTATCGAAACAGATATAACTGCACCGCCGCTAGGGAGCGCCAAAACACGGACAGGCACTGGCCTCTAGGTGATCCCACGGACAGGCACTGGCCACTAGGTGATCCGCCTGGGGCTGTCGGTGGGCAAGAGCACTAAGGGCGGTGCGGGGGTGGGGGCGGGGGTGGGGCCGGGGCCGGGGGCCAGGACCTCCAGCGGCTTACTCAGGGCAGACTTCCTCACCTTCGGTCCACGTGCAGCCAGAGAGTGGCAAGAATGACTCTGGAAGCAGGCCCTGAAGACCCCACCCAAAGACCATTTCCGGCATCCCAGCTCCCTCCAGCCACAGACCCCTGTCATCCCCGACCACTAATCTCTTTCCTTGATCAAGCTCTGAAGTCTCCCCCAGAAGCCCACGGCTCCAGACCCTTCAGCCCCGGGGCCCCTGTCCCCCAGGTCGCCAAGCTCTCCCGATTGCCCCTCGCCAACCCCCTCCCCACGTGCCCCATCCCTTCATCCCCCCGACGGCGTACCTGTGAGAGAATCATAACACTCCACCTCCGTGCTCTCCACCAGGCGCCGCTGCTCCTCGCTGAGGCGCGCCGGCCCGGGGCCGCTGGTGGGCCCAGGGGCGGGAGCGGGCAGGCCGCCAGGGCGGGCCCCCTGCGCCGCCTTCAGCTGCAGCAGCGCTCGGTGGTACTTGCCGATGGCCTCCCGGAACTTCTTCTCTCGGTAGCAGCGCTGGCCCTCCGCCTTGAACGCCACGGCGGCGCGCAGGCTGCTGTCGAGTGCCGCGCCCAGGCTCCCCGACGGCTCTGGGGTAGGACCGGGACGAGTCGAGCCATGGCGGGAGCCAGAGCCCGGGCCCGGTGGGGACAGGGCGGGAGGTGGCCGCGGCGGAGGCTCCGGGGCAGCGCTGAGCATCAGCACCGGGGACAGCGCACCGCGCTGCATTGTGGGAAACTCCTGCCGCCGCGCTGCAGCTACCGCATCGCCCCCCGCGGGGCTGGTCCCCACCCTTTCTCCGCCCCCTCACCTCCGGCAGCCGACTCCGGCTGCCCCCTATGGGTCTAGGGAAACCCCTCGAGACTTCCCCCATGCGCACTCTGAAATTAGCCAAGTCCTAGTTCTCCAGCCCGTCCCCTTGGAATTGTTCCCACTCCCCTACCCTCCCACTCTCCTGCCTGCTCTCCTCCCTGGTGCCCAAAACTCCTGAAGATTTCTAGAAGGAAAGGACAAGCCTGGGGGAAAGAGTAGGAAGACATCAGCCTCACGGAAAGCTGGCTCTCAGCCTGCTGGCCCTTTGGTATATCGAGTGAGAACACAGAATTTGGACTCAAGCCGCTCAAATTCAAATCCCTGCTTATTTTCTCACTAGTGGTATGACTTGGACAGCTGGCTTAAACTACCTGGAACTCTGTATCCTCATCAGTAACATGGGACAATAATATCACCTTTAGGGCCGGGCACAATGGCTCACACCTCTAATCCCAGCACTTCGGGAAGCCAAGGGCGGTAGATAGCTTGAGGTCAGGAGATACACACACTACACACACACACAAAAAAAAAAAAATTAGGCGGACATGATGGCATACCCCTGTAGTCCCAGCTACTTGGGAGACTGAGGCAGCAGAATCGCTTGAACCTGGGAGGCAGAGGTTGTAGTGAGCAGAGATTGTACCACTGCACTCCAGCCTAGGTGACAGAGGGAGACGCTGTCTTTTAAAAAAAAAAAAAAAAAAAGCAATCTAGCTGGGCATGGCGGCGTGTGCCTGTAATCCCATCTACTTGGGAGGCCGAGGCAGGAGAATTGCCTGAACCCAGGAGGCGGAGGTTGCGGTGAGCTGAGATCTCGCCATTGCACTACAGCCTGGGTAACAAGAGCGAAACTCTGTCTCAAAAAAAAAAAAGGGAATCAAGGAAGAAAGGGAGGGAGGAAGGAAAGGAGGGAGAATACGTTCTTTGGGATTCATCTGCTAATTTATGCAACAAATATTCACTGACATCCTTTCTGTGCCCAGGTCTGCTGGATAATGCTGGGATGTAGCAGAGACTGCATGAGCTTCAGACCCTACCCTCACTGGGTCCCCAGTTCAGTTGGAAGACCGATCAGTGACCAGATAGTGACAGCCCTGAGCAGGCCAGCCTCCAGCCTGGGAAGCACAGGCAGAGGTGTCAGGGTGGGGGGGGGGGGGTCACATGCAGAGGGGTTGGGGCTGGGATATGGGAGGTACTGCTGTGGGCTGAGGTGGTGAGTAAAGCCTTCCTGGAGGAGGGAATGACTCTGTAAACAAGAGAGATCTCCTTGCCCTCATCAAGCTCCGTGAGAAGGCAAACAAGTCCCCAGGAAAGGAAGCATGCATGAGACTTCAAGAAAAAAACTGAGTGTAAATGATTCGATTGCCCTTCGGTCCTCCTTAGCCGCCTCCTTAGCTGTGGGACTTGGGCCAACTTCCTCCATCTTCCTCCTCTGACTTTTTCTGTGTGACATGAGGATAAAAGTCAAGTTAACCTCAGAGAGGTTGCAGGGAGTGAATTATCTTATGCAGGTAAGGCACTTAGCACAGGGCCTCAAACATTAATGGGCAATTAACAATTGGTGTTTCTTATCCATTAGACTCAGTCATGTGATCTTGAGTGCCTGGCTCTGAGTCAGCATGCACATATAGTTGTTGAATGAATGAGTGTGTGAATCAATAGCATTCTGCATTACTACTCCTTCCCCCTCCCCTTGAGTCTCAGCCCCAAGCACCTCCACTGTCCCCACATCCACCCCCACAGCACATCCTCCAGCTGAAGGTCCCACATGCAGGTTGCATGTGACAGACAGAAACTGGAACCCAGCATCCTCCATCTCAACTGCAGCCTCTGCCTCTATCTCTTATTGTACTTTGCTGTAAAATCCTTTTGCTGGATGAGTTTCTCCCTTATCCCTGGGGTCCAACCTTGAACACCTCAGGCGTGGAAACATTTTCCTTTCTGCATCTCCAAACCGAGGCAGGTAAAGCTTCTGAGTGCGAGTTGTTGAGCAGTGTGCACACCTTTCCCTACCTTCAGGTTTGACTGTTTTGTAATTAAAAACATGAAGATCTCTGCCGGGCGCGGTGGCTCAAGCCTGTAATCCCAGCACTTTGGGAGGCTGAGGCAGGTGGATCACGAGGTCAAGAGATCAAGGCCATCCTGGTCAACATGGTGAAACCCCGTCTCTACTAAAAATACAAAAAAATCAGCTGGGCATGGTGGCACGTGCCTGTAATCCCAGCTACTCAGGAGGCTGAGGCAGGAGAATTGCCTGAAGCCAGGAGGCGGAGGTTGCGGTGAGCCTGAGATCGCGCCATTGCACTCCAGCCTGGGTAACAAGAGCGAAACTCTGTCTCAAAAAAAAACAAAAACAAAAACAAAAACATGAAGATCTGGCCAGGCGTGGTGGCTCACACCTGTAATCCCAGCACTTTGGGAGGCCGAGGCAGGTGAATCACCTGAATTTAGGATTTCGAGACCAGCCTGGGCAGCATGGCAAAACCTTGTCTCTACCAAAAATACAAAAAAAAATTAGCCAGGTGTGTGCCAGTGGTCCCAGATACTTGGAAGGCTGAGGTAGGAGGATCGCTTGAACCCAAGAGGTGGAGGCTGCAGCGAGCTGAGAACACTACTGCACTCCAAGCTAATGACAGAGTGAGACCCTGTCTCAAAAAAAAAGAAAAAGAAAAAAAGCCATTGATTCATAACACATGTTTTCTGACCAAGTAAATACCTAGGTACCCAGGCACAGTAGCAGAGGACAACTGTACCTAAAATCACAGTCCTGCTGGGATGCAATGCTAACACTTACAGCACCTCCTAGGTGTCAGACATCGTCATAAAGCTTTGCATATACTTTGACTCACATCCTCCCCACAGTGTCAGGTGGTGGGTACCATAATTAATCCCCATTGATACCTGGGCACTTCCCAGATTAAGTATATCAGACCCCAGTGATCAAACTCTTACTATCCAGTACTTACTATTACAAACTGATGACCTTCACAGAGCATCTCCCAGGCCTGAGACCCTATCTTCATAGTCCAATACAGGTGATGTGTTGGGGCTTGTACAACAATTAAGAAATTTTCAATTAGGCCGGATGTAGTGGCTCACGCCTGTAATCCCAACATTGTGGGAGACCAAGGCAGGAGGATCACCTGAAGCCGGAAGTTCGAGACCAGCCTGCTCAACATGAAGAAAACCGGTCTCTACTAAAAATACATGAGCCGGGTGTGGTGGCACATGCTTGTAATCTCAGCTACTTGGGAGGCTGAGGCAGGAGAATCGCTTGAACCCGGGAGGCGGAAGTTGTGGTGAGCCGAGATCGTGCCATTGCACTCCAGCCTGGGCAACAAGAGCAAAACTCCGTCTTAAAAAAAAAAAAAGAAAAAAAGGAAAGATTGAATTAGTCAACATGTAAAGGCAGAGATGGAATTGCAGAATTTCAGATTTAGTTGAGTAAGATCCGAAAATCCGGCAGCATCGAGGTAGCATTCCTTCCGACGGGACAGGCTTCTCAGTTCCTCATAGTCCCCTTCCTTCCTGGCATGAGGCCAGTCCTTAGGGGATCCCAGTTTTATCCTACTGAATGGCTCTAGGGGAAGCCCGCCATTGCCCCCTAGTGGAGGATTGATAATTTGCATTTTCTATCCGGCAACCGTTAAAGGACGTGGTGAGAACATCCAATCAGAGGGATGCGAGCCCTAGAAAGCGACCAACCAAAAGCAAGAAGGGACTGGAATTCGACCAATGAGGGCAGAGAGCACTCAAAATAAAAACTTACTTTATTGAGATGAGAGACGAACACACACTGGGAGGTTGCTTTTTTGTTTTCATAACTGAGTCTCAGCGCTCAGGGAGGCTCGGGTGGAGGCGGCGGAGCAGGCAGGCAGCGGTGAGGCTGGTGCCCTGGCGCTGGGGCCGCGCGTACTTGAAGAAGACGGCGGCGCGGCCCGGCGCGGGACCTCGGAGCGCAGCGCGGGCCATGCACGGCTCGAGGGGGCCCAGTTCCTCGGAGCTGCAGGGGGAGATGGAGAAACTGAGGCAGGGCAAGGGGGTAGAGATGACCCATCCTCAGAACTGGAGCTTCGAGGCCGAGATGCATCGCTGTGGGTCCCCACGGACAAGTCAGGGCTCTCTTGAGATCGGGCACTGGAGTGACTAGGCGGGTACCGGGGAGGGTGGGCACCCGATTCTCCCTGCAGGGCGCAGCTAGTGGGGAGCCAGAACCCGCGAGGAAGCAAGGAGAGGAGCCGAGGATGGACAGCCATGCTCTCTATCCTGGGGATACAGGCTGGGAGAAAAATGGTTCGCCCTGCCACCTGGTGGCATGGTTAGCAGCCCCAGCACCTAAAGGGACAGCCCATCCACCACTAGATACAGAGTTAGAGGACTCGAGGCCTGGGAGAGCCTTCGTTCTCAGCCCTGGAAGGCAATTGGAGCATCTTCTGAGCCTGGGAGACTTTATCTTCCACCCTGGGGCAAGGTTAAGCACCCCCAGACCTGGACTAATGGGATCCTCCCACCCCATGCTCTCCCATAACCAGAAAAATCAAGTCTAGGTGCCACCTTCTCCCCAATAATTGTCTCTCAATTCTCTGTGACGGTAAAAATGACCAGGAAGGGAGAACCCTGAAGCTGAGGTGACCCCATACAGGCCCCGCAACAAGGCCACACCTGTAAAGTTCCGGCTCGAGCCTGGAGCCCGCGCCGTCGAGCAAGCGGTGCGCCAGGCTCAGAGCCGCAGCCGCGCGACGACCCGGTTCCCATCCCACCGCCTCAGCCTCCAGCAGAGACAACTCCAGGAAGTAGGTGGCAAGTAGCATCACCTGCAAGCGAGGCGGGGTGACTGTCACGCCCCACCCTACCCCACGCCGGCCCGGCCCCACGCCCACCCTGTGTATCCACTAGGCCCACCTGGGGGCTGCTCCCTGCCAGCGTGGCCAGCAGCCCGAGACACAGCAGCGGGCCCGGGTGGTGCAGCCGGAAATCCAGGCGGCTCAGGATGCGGCGCTCCGCGCGCAGCAGCTCCGCCCGCGAGAAGGAGTCCGCACCCAGGAGGCAGAGGCAGGTGGGCTGCAGATGGGGGATATGAGGGGAAGGTGAAAGAGCCCTGGATCCCAGCTCTTTACTCCCTGCCCTGGAACGGCCCAAGTTCCGGACCTCAGTTTCCTGGTGTGTCAACTAAAGCTATTGGCTTGTGTCTGGAAGTCGCAGAGAGCAGGGGCTTCAGAGTCATGAGTTCAAGACCTAGGTTCGAGTTCAAACCCCACCGTCTGCTCACTGTGCGACACAGGACAGTCACAAGCTCTCAGCCTCAGTTTCTCCCTCTGTAAAAACAGAGATACTACTCCCTGCTTCACCAGGCAATTCTAATAAGGCACTGAATTCATGCAGTTGACGGTAACAACTTAAGATGAACTCGTTCATATTTTTTTTTTCTTTTAAAGATGGGGTTTCACCATGATGACCAGGCTTGTTTTGAACTCCTGACCTCAGGTGATCCACCCACCTCGGCCTCCCAAAGTGCTAGGATTACAGGCGTGAACCACCATGCCCAGCCATGTTATTTTTATTTACTTTTCTAGAGATGAGGTTACCTTGGCTTCTCAAAGTGAGGGATTTTTGTGTGTGGGGGGGGGGCAGTAGAGTGCAGTGGTGCGACTCTGCAACCTCCTGAGTTCAAGCTATTATCCTGCCACAGCCTCCTGAGTAGCTGGGACTACAGGCATGCACCACCACACCCGGCTCGTTTTTATATTTTTAGCAGAGGCGGGTTCTCACCACGTTGGTCAGGCTCGAACTCCTGACCTCAAGTGATCTGCCCGTCTCTGCCACCCAAAGTGCTGGAATTACAGGAGTGAGCCACTACATCCAGCCTTAAGACAGACTATTCAAGACCAAGTCCAAATTCCAACTGCTTGATTTGGGGCAAGTGTCTTCTTTCTGGGCCTCAGTCTCCTCTTCTGTTTAAGGGACACATTGACAGCCCCTCCCTCACACACGTTGGGAATCCCAGACTCAGCACGGTGCTTGGCACTGAATCAGTGACTCCCCGAAAGGACTCCCTCCACCCTCCCAAATCCCACCCCGGAAGTACCTCGGGAAGCACGCATTCTTCCATTTTGCACGCCACAAACAGGCAGGCCACGCCCAGCAGCTGCAGGCGATGTGAGCGCACGCGGCTGGCGCTCAGGTAGGAATCAAGCAGGTGCACCGCCAGGTAAAGTGTGTCACCAGCCAGACCCAGGTACTCCTGAGGAGGGGCACAGGTGCCCATGGGGTCCCAGGCAGTTATGTAAACCCAGCTCCCCACACCCTTCCAGATACTTACATGCACCTGGACCAGCCAATCTACCACCAGGGCGCGCATCTCCAGGGTCACAGCTCGGGGCAGGGCTCTCCTGGGCAGCACGCGGCACACCTGTGGTTGAGGCAGGGATGCCTCACTCTCCACACCTGTGCCCGGCCTTTCTCCTGAGCTCCAGCCCTGGGGGCAGCAGCCTCCAGGCATGCCACACCCAAAGTGGCCTCCAAATGCATTCCTTAGCGGTCCTCACCTAGAACTCTGGCTTTGTTCCAGATGCTTCCACAACCACCTCTCCAGTCTATAGCCTCCAGAGCCACGTGACCTCCTAGGTGGCTCCCACTAGGTTCCCAGGCTTCATTTTTTTCTTTTTCCCCTCAACCCATCTGCCTCAGAGCACCCAGAAGGTTTTTTTTTTTTTTTTTTTTTTTTTTTTTTTTTTTGAGACGGAGTTCACTCTTGTTACCCAGGCTGGAGTGCAATGGCGCGATCTCGGCTCACCGCAACCTCCGCCTCCTGGGTTCAGGCAATTCTCCTGCCTCAGCCTCCTGAGTAGCTGGGATTACAGGCACCCGCCACCATGCCCAGCTATTTTTTTGTATTTTTAGTAGAGACGGGGTTTCACCATGTTGACCAGGATGGTCTCGATCTCTCGACCTCGTGATCCACCCGCCTCAGCCTCCCAAAGTGCTGGGATTACAGGCTTGAGCCACCGCGCCCGGCCCCCAGAAGGTTCTTTCCAAAGGAAGATCTGACCAAGGAACTCCCCAGCTTAAAACACTTCCATGGCTCCCACTACCCTTGGAGAAAACTCTACTTTCTTTCAGGCTCTGCTCCAACATCACCTCTTTCCTCTCTCCCCTCAAACCCACACTTCAGCCACAACTGCCTTCTTTTTGGCTCCTAGACTATGCCAAGCCCATTCCTACCCCAGGCCCTTTCCACTTCCTTGTTCTTCTACAGAAAGCATCCTTCCCCAGCTCCTTGCACGGTCTCTGTCATTCAACTGACATCTCCATGACTTTGTCTATACTCCTCCCACCTGGTCCCCAGCTCTGTCTCAGCATTTTCACTCTGAAGATGTCTCCCTGTGAGCTTTGTCTCTTCGTCTGCTACGCTGCCAGCCTCACGGCTCAGGGACTCCTGACCAGAACACGGGTGTCTCTCAGGTCCTAATAGAGATCCTGGCCCAGGGGAGTCGCTGGCAGGACGTTAAATAAATTCCTCCCTTCAGTCTTCCTTCCGCAGCACCCCTCTGCTAGGGACGTCTGAGAGCTGGCGAGGCCAACGTTTTGGTTTGGGTGGTTTTTCTCTAATGGTCCTACGTGTTTGCTCATCACCCCAGAATGAGGCCAGCATCACAGCACCTCCAGGGCCTAAAACAATCGACACTGAACGATTAAATATTTGTTAAACGAGTAAACGTGGAGGACAAGTACAGGGGACCATAAACACCCCAGAAGGGGCTGCAAAGAGTCTGGGGACGGTGGGAAAGGGCATTCCCAGCGGGACACAAAACAAAAGCCTGGGCGTTGTGGGAAAGGAACGCCGGCCGCCAGTGACCCGGAGGAGAGAGGCTGGCGCAGTGGGAGTTCGGAGGTGGTGTTGAGAGGGTGCTGGGTGGTGGGCGGCGCTGGCCTCACCAGGGCAGGTGGCGGGTGGGCTCACCATGACTTCGGCGAAAATGTCCCCGGCGTACTCGCGTTCTCCCTGCAGCCCCAGCGCGCTCAGCGCCTCCTCGAGCCCCGGCAGCCTCTCCAGGCATCTTGGGGAGACACTGGGGCCCGCGGGGAAGCTGTTGGGGACTGGCACGCTCGGAGGCTCTGCATCGAGGGAGGCAGTGGGACTCTGCAAAGGAGAAGGCCTTGGTGGCTCAGCACCTAAAGAGAAGCCCGAGCCGGACCCCTGGCCCCTGCCTCTCACCAGCATCCTCCAGAAGGGCGTCGCAGGTGAGGCTAAGCATTAACCGCTTGCAGCTGGGAGAAGAGACGCCCATCCGGTGCTTTAAATGCGCCTGGGCACGTGTGCACTGAGCCCGCCTCGCCTGGGCAGGTGCACAAGGTGAGTGCCCCGCAGGCCGGCTCCGTCCTCTCGACGCCCTCTAAAGTCGGGCAGCTGAAGACAGATTCTCATTCTCCTGCCCGGAAGCAGCCCCTCTGAGCCTCACTTTCCTCGACCATAAAAGTCAGGATGATTTCAAAATGCAGTTGATAAGGTTGTCTGTGGAATGTACAACCTTCGGTTTAAGTGTCCAGCACAAGGCCTGATGCAGTAAAACATCCTGACATGGCAGCCCTAAGTCACTTAACAAATATTAAAGGAAGGCGCCTCTTATCTGTGCACTGGGTACAGCGACTGAGCAAATTGCCCGAGGTTCCTGTCTGTGCCAAGCTCAGTCCACTGCTGTGAAAGTGACTCCCACAAGCCAGCAGCATCAGCCTGGACTAGTGTGGGGGACTCCTGGCTGCTCTCCCTTTCCATCCCCTAGAGTTTGTCCCCCACATGCAGCTGAAGGAAGCTGTGCCCCCCTAAAGCAGGTTACCCCTGCCTGTGTCCAGAACTTCATCATGGCTCCCGTCTCCCTCCAGCTGAAGGCCCATGACACTCCGTTATTCCGTCTCCAACCGAGCGCATCCACTCCATATCCCTCAGTCCCCTTCAGCCCCTCAGACCTTCAGGCTCTTCCTCACCCACACCGGGCGTGCTCCTACCGCAGGGCCTTTGCACCAGCTGTTCCCTCTGCCTCAAATGCTCTTCCCTCAGAGACGATGTTTAAGGTGTTTACTCAGCTGTTACCTTCTCCCGGAAATTGCCATCCTTAGCATTTCCTGTCTTTATCCTCTCCAGCACTTACTGCCTTCTAACCAACCACATATTATCTTGTTTACTCTCTCCTAACTGGAATATTCAGTGAGCCCCTTAAGGGCAGAGGTTTTGTTTTTGTTTTTTGTTTTGTTTTTCACTGCTGTATGCCCAGGCCTGGTACATAATAGGTGTTGAATAAATATTTGTTGAATAAGTGAGTGTCTAGGCTGGATGTCTTTTTATTGTGGAGCGGGGAGACAGAGTCTTATTCTGTCACCCACGCTGGAGAGTGCAGTGGTGTCATCAAAGTTTTCTGCAGCCTTGACCTCTTGGATTTAAGTGATCCTCCTGCCTCAGCCTCCTATCTGGGACTACAGGCGTGCACCACCACGCTTGGTTAATTTTTATGTATGTATGTATGTATTCGGATGGAGTCTCGCTCTGTTGCCCAGGCGCAGAAGTCCACAAAGGAATTTCCTCATGGGCAAATGGTGAGAGAGGCAAGTAGCTTTTTAAAAGTACCTTTAGACCAAGCACGGTGGCTCACGTCTGTAATCCCAGCACTTTGAGATGCAGAGGCGGGCAGATCATTTGAGGTCAAGAGTTCGAGACCAGCCTGGCTAACACGGTGAAACGCCGTCTCTACTAAAAATACAAAAATTAACTGGATGTGGTGGTGGTCACCTATAATCCAAGCTACTCAGGAGGTTGAGGCAGGAGAATCACTTTAATCCTAGAGGTGAAGTTCGCAGAGAGCTGAGATCACGCCATGGCACAAAACACACACACACGCACAACCCCACCCAACCACCCACCAACCCTACCTTTGTAGCTATGTTGTTAAGGAACAGAATGGGAGGCAGGTTTGTCGGAGAAGCAGTTCCCAGCTTGATTTTTCCTGTGGCTTAGTGACTTCAGGGAGATTTTTCTTTCACAACTACAAATGGAAAGCAGGAACTGTCAAGTGGAGAAACCTCCCAGACACCACCTTCACTAAGGGACCCAAGTCATTATCAGTTACAGGACAAGCATCCTCATGCGCCTTCTGATAGGATGCCCAGAAAAAGGCATGTCACTTCCAGGAATTCCTGCCCAAAATGGCATGAACATAACCACAAGGAAACGTGAGGCAACCGACCCTGGTTAAGTGAAAACAGCTGCAAAGTAACTGTGCTGTTAGTTTCACACCTGCTAAGTGAATTCGATGTGTGAGCCTGGTCATTGTCATCACATACAAGGACATTAAGTGTGACCATCAGCAAACGTGATAAAATCTGTGGAGAATGGCAGTTTCAATATTGGCTTCCTGACCTTGATAACTGCACAGCAGGTGCATAGCAGAGTCTTCTTGCTTTAGGACAGGTATACAGACGTGGAGGAGGGGTGAATGTAAAATTCTGATCCCGTCTTTGTCCATTTTAAGAAATAAAATGCTATGAGGAAGCTGGTGAAGGGTATATTTTTAAATTATTTTACATTTTATTTTTGAATAGATTGTCAGAGTTCCCATCTACCCCACACCCAATTTCCCTGACCAGCGTATTAGTGTGGCATGTGTCACCATCAGTGAGACCAATAATCTATTAAGGCCATGCTTTATTCAGCCTCCCCTTTTTCCCTACTACCCTTTTTCTGTTTCAGGACACATTCAGTCACCGTGACTCCTTCGATTGATCTCGGATGTGTCCCTTTCTCAGACTTTTCTGATTTCTAACCACCTTAACAAATCCCTCAGCTGACATCTGTCTGCCGTCTTCTTCCTCTCAGTGAGGTGGCGTGTGTCTGCGGGAGGAGGATCACAGGGAAAGTGCGGTTCTATTACATCACGTTAATGGGACGCCGTGAACGTGATTTATCGGTAATGTTGACCTTGATCACCTGGATGGTGCAGTGTTTTGTCAGGTATCTTCGCTGAAGAGTTCTTCCCCACTCTCCACACTGCACTCTGGAGGAGTCACTGCAGCCCACGCCTAAGTGGTAGGGGTTACATACCTCTCCTTGAAGGCTGTCTACAGAAATTAGTTGTAATTTTGTGAAGCCTGGTGTATTCTCCCCATTTACCACTTAGCAGTAGACTCATTTCACATTTGCCATGGTGCTATCTCGGCTCACTGCAACGTCCATCTCCCGGGTTCAAGTGATTCTCCTGCCTCAGCCTCCCGAATAGCTGGGATTACAGGTACGTGCCACCACGCTCAGCTTTTTGTATTTTATTATTTTTTGAGACAGAGTCTCTCTCTGTCGCCAGGCTGGAGTGCAGTGGGAAACCCCAATATTATGCCCTTTATTTTGTGGCTCAAGTTCTTTTCAGCTTTGGCCACTGGGAGCTCTTTCTTGGGCTCCGTGTCCCTGTGACTTAGCACGTCAGTGCTTACGTTCAGGCACTGCAAGATGCCCCAGGCTCACCTTGTGCATCTTCCACCCTAGTCCTGGAATACATCTTAGTACAGTACTATTTTTGAAAGTTTTCTGCAAGTCTGTAATTATTTTAAAATTGGAAGTATGTGAATGGCTACAGTTTTTTGGAAAGGTACTGGACATTAAAATCCTGGGACGCAGACGGCGACAGAAGTGCAGGCACAGTACAGACGGCTCGCTAAGGTTTATTACAGGACTGCTGTGAGCACCAGACAAACAAAACCAAGTGAATCCCTGTCAACGGGGCGCTGAATCGGCTGAAGTGTCCCACCCCATGGGGGAAGCAGCTGGATAGCCTGAGTTCCCCAAATGCAGCAGCTAAAAGGGAATCGCACTGCTACCCCTGACTCAACATGGCCATCACTGCACGCGGGGCAGCCCCCAGACACTTTGCATTAACTGGAAAAGATTATGCAAAAAGAGGAGGAAACTACCGATCGATGATACCCTGTCCATTTTGCACAGAGGTAATCAGCACCAAAATGAGTACTCAAGGCCCGGAGACCTCCAGTGAATCTGACTTTTACACCTGCTTTGCTGTGTTATTTTAAATGACATATATCATTTTTTTTTTCTTTTTAGAGACACAGTCTCACTGTCCCGGGCTGGAGTGCAGTGCCACAGCCACAGCTCACTGCAGCTTCAAACTCCTGGGCTCCAGTGACCTTCCCACCTCAGCCTTCCAAGTTAGCTGGGATCACAAATCTGCACCACCATTCCCAGCTAATTTTTGTATTCTTTGTAGAGACAAAGGCCTCCCTATGTTGCCCAGGCTGGTCTTGAACCCCTGGCCTCATGAGATCCACGCGCCTTGGCCTCCCAAAGTGCTGGGATTACAGGCGTGAGCCACTGTGCCCAGTCTACCGTTCTTTACGTACAAAAAAGAACTTGTGAAGTTTTTAAAATGTACATTGCAAAAGATTATTCTACTCCAAATGTTTTATTGAGATGTCAAACAGCCTCCTTGAGAAAAGCTCTACAGGATAAGCACGCAGGCTCAACTACAGGGCCAGCTGCTGTGGGACCCCATCCTGCAGAGGACGAGAGCCGCTAAAAGAATGAGGTAGCCAGGCCTGTGCTCACGAGGAGACCCGCCTCACGGGGATGTGGGTGAGGAGCAAGGTGGGTCACCTCAGGGGGCTGCGATGAGACGGAAGGGGAAAAGGCCTTTACAGGTCGGCCTATCTTACACCACCAGGGTAGACTTTTGTAATTAAATTAAGATCCACGTGACTTTAGAAAGACAAACTAAAAGTCCTAGCTGTAGCTAACTCTGACTTCTGAAAATTGGATCTGACTTTTCTGCTTAAATTCACTCCAAATCTCAGATTCCAATGGGTATGAAGTGCTAACACGTTGTGGCCAAATCTCAAATTCATTTGTGCCAGGCCCTCTCTCCACCGCAGGGCTCGGCAGGGCAGGGCTCTGGTCCCTGGTCCTCGGCCGGGGGAGGTGTTCCACCCAGCGAGCTCCGGCCAGGCAGCCACGGGACTCAAGCATGTTAAGTGCAGGGGCCCAGACACAGCCAGGCTAAAGGGCAGGGCCTGGTGGAGGACTGACTCCAAGCTGAGCGGGCCCTAACCAAATGCTCTGGAGCTCCCAGGCGACAGCAACCACACCACCGTCAACACACCACTGGGTCTGTACTGGAATTTGGGGGCCTCAAGGCTTCCGGGGGCAGCATAAATGGGGAGGTGTGGCTGGACAGGAATGCCCCACTCTAAGGCTCGGGGGCCTGTGGAATGAACCATTCCTTCACTCAGTGACACCACAGGCACCCTCCTCATTCTAGGCCACCCAGATCTTCCATCCCTGTTCCTCCACCCCGCCTCTTAGCCTAAGCAGCACCGAGGACCTGGAGTGGTCTCTGTCTACCCCACCCCCACACCCCTCAACCCCACAGCCCCAGCTCCACCCAGAGCTCCAGCACACACCCCAGCTGCCCTCGCCCTGAGCTCATTCTCACCTCCACGCCCCTGCTCAGCCCCCCTCCCTTGCTGAAGGAAGTGGCTGGTACAAGATGAGCTGGGGCACAGGGGCCGGACTCCATCACCAAAGCCAAGACCAGGGTGGTTGGGCCGGCGTGAGTGCAGGCGGGGCCCTGGTCTGAAATGAGTGTCTTTATTGCTTGTACCGTACAAATATGAAGACGAGGAGAAAAGCCAGTAGGGACGGAGAACTGTCAGATAAACGACATCGGCGCAAAAGAAAGAAAGACCCCCACCCGCCCAAACCCACCCCTCCCCACCCTGCCAGGAACTGCATAGTACAGGAGGTGGGGTAGGGAAATCAAACCCACAAAAGCTCAACTCCAAACACCCAGAGGTGTTGCTGCGGGGAGGTGTTGCTGCGGGGAGGGGAGGCGTGGGCGGGGCAGCGACTGGATCCCAGTGGCTGGGCTCCCACTAGGTCAGCAACCCTGCCCCACAGGATGAAATGCTTGGGCCAGGGATGGGGCCCAAGCCCACACACCATGCACACGGGAGGACATACTGCCCTCACACACACCAACACACATACGCACACACCCACACACATGCACACACACCCACGTGTGCCTGAGTCACACTGACACACGCAGTCTGAAGCACGCACAGGGATCCCACAGCACTGACATGGACGTGCACTCATGTTCAACCTTAAGGCTGCAAAACGTGGGGCCCTGGGGAGGGGGAAGGAAGACAGGGCCTAGGAGCCTCCCTTCTCAGAGGCCCCCCAACCCCAGCAGGTACCAGAGACACCCACTCCCACCCCTCCCTGACCAAGTCCATGGGGCCCAATACTGTCTGGTGTAAGATTGTAACAGCCGAGGCTGGTGCCCCTCCGCCCCCCACAGAGAAGGGGGTGAGCCCAGCCCCAGTGGGGTGGGGCCAGGCCGGGCCAGGCCAGGCCCGGGGTCCAGCAGGAGGAAAGGCCAGCTGGAAGGAAGCCCTGGTAAGGCACGGGGCTGGGGGCAGGCAGGTTTGCCCCCAAGTGTTCCTCCTGCCTCATCCACAGGGTAAGGATGGCAGCTTGGTGGGGAGGAAGCAGGGCCAGGAGGCAGCACCCAGCCCGGCCCCTCCTGGTTTCCCACGGCACAGATCCTAGGACCTGGCTCTATTCACCAAGGAGCAGCCCTAACTCCCAACCCTGCAGCTCCCCAGGGCCCCTGCCCGTCCCTGGGTATTATTGCTTTTCTGCCCCCATGGGAGGACAGCGGGTAGGGGGTTGGACCCGCGCCTGGGCATTCCGAGCCTAGGCCGCGGGGCCTGGAAGGCAGCACCACTGTCTGCCGGGTGTCGCGTCACACCAGAAGGCAGTCTTCGTCTGGAAGGAGCAGCACGGAGGCAGCCACCGGCGCAACACCCGGGCCAGAAGCAGGCCCCCGGTGGGTGCCATGCTTCACCCCTCACTGGGGCTTGTGTGGTTTAAAACCTGAATCTCTGCAGCCGCCCAACAGCCTGGGCCTGGGCGGGAGATGGAGTCTCCCAAATGCGAGTCCAGGCACAAATGTGAGGCTGGAAGCAGGGACCGCAGGGGCCGCTGGGGTGCGTCCCGGAGGGGCCTGAAGAAGAACTGGAAAGCAGGTGAGGAGGTAGGGGTGGGGACACAAACCAAAAAGGCAAAGTATAAAGTTGGAAAAAAGCCACCCAGTGGTGACGGCAGCGTGGGTGCATCCTCTGCGTGGGCGGGCTGCTCACTCCCGGATGCTGGCCGAGTAAGAGAACTGGGGGAAGTGGGTCCGCTGGTCCAGCTCCAGGGAGCCCAGGCTGTCATCTGCGGGTGGCAGAGGTGGATGGGGAGAACCGGTCAGCAGAGGGCCTGGGGCACCTGCCCAGACTCCCTGGAGAACTGGCCAAAGCTGGTGGGGGTTGCCCCCAGGACAGACGGAAAAGGCCCAGCAACCTCCCCTGCAATGAAGCCCTTCAGCCACGGCCCACTCCCCATGCCTGAGCCCTGGGCAGCCTCCTCTGGGAGCTTTCTGTGCCCTTGCCCATGTGCCTCACAGCTGGCAGTGCCTTCTGAACCTCCACCTTCTCTCTGCCCCACACACCATGATGCCAGGGTCCAGCCCAGAGCCCTGTCCCGGCCTGCCTCTTGCCCTCCCATCCATTCTCCACAGGCTGCCAGCAGGGGGGGGAGGTTCTAAAGACCTGCTGCAACCCTGTCCCTCTGCACAAAACCCCGTCCTGGCTGCCCCCATGCAAGCAGTCCCCACTCCTCCCAGTGGGCTCCCAGACCCTCACACTCTGGCCCCATGCCCTCTCTTCTCCCCCCATCTCCCTGGCTCTGCCTGTCCTCGGCCATGTCACGCTTCTCCCATTGCTGGCATCCTACATGCCATTCCTGCCAGCTGATGTGTTTGCTTCCTCTTCCAGAAAGCCCTCCCTACCTGCAGGCCAGGTCAGTTATTTCCTCTGAGCTTCCCCAGTCCCTGGGCTCCCACAGCCTAGCCCCAACCACTCCAGGCCATCGCTCTACCCGGCCCGGAGCTTTCCAGGGCAGGGCCCAGGGCTGGCTCCATCGGCGCTGTGTTCCTAGCATAGCCCAGCCCTGGGCTGGGTTCAGAGTAAGAATTCACACAGCTGTAAAGCAGTGAACCCAGCCAGCCTCACGCACCAAGCTGTCTCCTGCTCTGGCCCCCACTGAGCTCCAGAATCTGCTGTAGCCAATGGCTCTTGGTGACTTCACCAGGTCCAAAGAGGACCAACAGCAAAAAGGCCCGAGAATAGGCCTTAGGGAAACTGCCCTGACACGAAGAGGTGGCCTTCAACAGCCCTCCTCAAGAAGTGGGTTAAGAGCAGACCCCACCCCTCCACCACTGGGCCAGGCATACCGCGGCAGGGTGCCCCAGGCACTTACAGCGGTCAGGGGGTGTGATTGTGATGGACTGGGCGGTGAATTCATCATCGAAGTACCGTGTGTCGACCTCAGACGTGACCTGAGGTTTGAAGGGTGGCAGGAGCTACAGAGGAGAGGAGCCCAGGCTTAGGGACCCTGACGCCAGAAGGCCTCAACCAAGGTCACCATGGGTGGGCCAGGCCCCTGAGGGTCCTGCTGGGGCTGGCAGCAGGGACTCACCTTCTTCTGGACCACGTCCTGCCAGTTGATGCTGAGGAAGAACCTGTGCTCCATGACCTCCTGGGCATCGCTGGGCCCCCCACCAAGCCTGGGCAGAGATGGCTGTCAGCACCTGCCTCCCAGAGCAGCTGGGTTCAGGGAGACGGGCTTTCGGCGCAGGCAGGCCCTGCATGGCCTTTAATGATTCTGTCTTGACCACAAACCACCACTTCACAGAGGAGGAAACCGAAGCTCAGGGAGGGAGCTAACGTGCCCAGGGTCAGAGCCAGGGAGTTGGCAGCCTGGACCCATGTAGCCTCACAGCCTGGCCTCACCTTGAGTCCAGAAAGGGAGTTAGTAGGGTAAGCTTCGTTCCATTCTGGCTCTGCCATACAGTTTGGAGGCCCCAGCCAGGCCCAGGGTTGCCCTGTTCCTCAATGTCCCCATAAACCAAAGCAGTGTCAAGGATGGCCTGCCCCGTCCTGGGGGAGCTCTCCCTAAGGGCCAGTGCCCACATTTTCAGGGGCTGTGTGGGGACGACACACTGCGACATCACAAGCGAGTGCCTTTGTGGACACAGCCCCCTCCAAGCTGCAGGGACAGTGGCAGCAGCTGGAGCCAGGCTGGGCTGGGCTGGGCTGGGCTGGGCTGGGCTGGGCAGGGCCGACGCCAGCCCTCACCTCTGCTTGGGGTCCTTCTTAAGCAGCCCGGCAAGCAGGGACTTGGCCTCAGGGCTGAGCGTGCGCGGGAAGCGGATCTCCTCCATGAGGATGAGCTCGAAGAGGCGCTCGTGGTCCTGGTTGTAGAAGGGCAGGCGGCCACACATCATCTCGTACATGACCACGCCCAGCCCCCACCAGTCCACTGCCCGGCCATAGTCGTTGTCCTCCAGCACCTGAGGACAGAGGGAAAATGAGGGGCCGGGCCCGTGGCCCTGAGGCTGGAATCACAGTCGTGCCTTCAGGGCATCTGGGCTGGAAACACACAGGTCTGGAATTCCCCTACCCTTGGCCTCACGTTCCCACACCCCTAACCCCAGACACCTCAGGCGCCAGGTACTCCGGAGTCCCACAGAAAGTTTTCATGGTGGCCCCGTCGCTGATGCCTTCTTTGCAGAGGCCAAAGTCAGTGATCTTGATGTGGCCATCTTTGTCCAGCATGAGGTTTTCCAGCTGTTGGAAAAGAACGTATCTCAGGCATGTGCTCCCAGGGCTTCCTGCCGCCCCAGCCTTTCCTTCCAGGGGAAGATGCCAGGGTGTCCTGGATATCAAGTCTCTCAGGCCAGGCTGGGCCTGAGACTCAGAGAGAGGCCAGACCCAACCTGCTCCACGCCATGGCCCACGCTCAAGGTCCTTGGGAATAGCTGGGCAGGGAGAACCAGGAGCCAGGCCCTGTCCACTCACTGCCCCACTGAGAGCTGCAGGGTCTTAAGTTCGAACATGGGGGTGGGCACTAGCTTTCTTCTTTTTCTCTAGACTTTTTGTCTTTTAATTATTAAATATGCAGCTAGACAAAGTGGCTAACATCTGTAATCCTAGCACTTTGGGGGTGCTTAGGAAGCAGAATTGCTTGAGTCCACGAGTCTCAGACCACCCTGGGAAACACAGCAAGATCTCATCTCTATTTTATGTTTTAAAAAAAAAAAAAAAAAAAAAAAGGCCAGGTGCAGTGGCTGCTGCCTGTAATCCCAGCACTTTGGGGGGCCAAGGCAGGTGGATCATCTGAGGTCAGGAGTTCGAGACCAGCCTGACCAACATGAAGAAACCCTGTCTATTAAAAATACAAAATTAGCTGGGTGTGGTAGGGCACGCCTTTAATCCCAGCCACTCAGGAGGCTGAGGCAGGACAATCCCTTGAACCCAGGAGGCGGAGGTTGCAGTGAGCTGAGATCGCACCACTGCACTCAACAGAGGGAGACTCCTTCTCAGATAAATAAATAAAAATAAAATAGGGACTGTGCCAGCTCACACCCCACCAGCAGCCTAGGAGTGCCCATGGAGACTTGGAAAGGTCCCTCCCTACCTTGGGGCCACTTGCTACAGAACCACTACCCTGGACCTCGGTGGGGAGAGCTTGGCGAATTAGGGCAGAAGGCCTTGGCCCCACCTCTGTGATGTGAGTCCCGTGTGCGTGCCACGGGCCAGCCTGGTGCACACTCTGCCACTAACCTTGATGTCGCGGTACACCACGTCCCGAGAGTGCAAGTACTCAAGAGCCGAGACGATCTCTGCACCATAAAACCGGGCCCGCTCCTCTGTGAAGACACGTTCCCGGGACAGGTGGAAGAACAGCTGCGGGAGGAAGGGGTGGGGAGAGGTCAGGTCCCTGCCCACTCACTTGCCCTCAGCTTCCCAGCCCCCTGCCCTAGCCCAGTGATGCAGTGACACCTGCATCATGAACCAGCAAGTGACAGCCAGAGAGACCAAGCAAGGCACAGAGCAGAAGCAGCTCACAAGTGATACGGAGCTAGGCGTGAAGGGCTAGGGTCTGCCAGGAGGCACCCACGAGAGGGTATGGGAGGGACAGCCCAAGGCAGCAGAGGAGGGAGGCCGGCACGGAGGCAAAGAGAAGCCGCATGTCATGACCAAGTGACAACAGGCCATCGGCAAGCCCAGATCAGACGGGTGAGCAAACCACCTATCCCAATGCAGGCGTGACATCTGCTGCACGGAGAAGGCTTGAGGCAAGGAGTGGGTGACAAGTGAGGTGACCTTGTGATAGGGAGTGGAGCGGCTGCATAAATCCACTTCGGGAGGACATGGGAACAGAGGGCTGGTAGGCTTTGACCCTTGGGGGCTTTCTCTGGGGCCATCCTTCCCAGTGCTGTTGGCCAGCCACCCTGCAGCCCTCTTCACACCTCTCTGGACTGGTTTGGCCACTAACCCATCCACTCACTAGCTGTGTGAACTTGGGTGAGCCACTGAACCTCTCTGAGCCTCAGTAACCGCCCCACCGCCCCCCCCCCCAAGTGAAGATGATGCCACCTGCCTCAAGGGAGGGGGTACAAGATGACATCCAGGAAATTTCCCTCCACCCCTCCATCTCACCCACAGCTCCTCTCCAACCTACCCCACCCTAAGGAAGGAGGCCCCAGAAGACGAGCAGGGCAGCCTCAGCTCACCTCGCCACCATTGGCGTACTCCATCACGAAGCACAGGCGGTCGTGGGTCTGGAAAGCGTACTTCAGCGCCTGGGGGACGAAGGCAGCAGGGTCGGAGGTGGGAGAGAGAGGGCCCTGCTTATTCTGCACACACCCTGCCCTGGCTGGAGCCTGCAGGAGTCAGCCAGATGGGGTTCACATCTGGCTGCACCTTTTGGGGTGTAAGTGAAGGCGTGGCTTTGCAGGTAGGAAAGGGTTACATGCAGAACCATCTTGTCCTCTGCCTCCATCAGGCACAGCCAGGGAAGAAACTAGAGCTGTTCTGAGCAACCAGGGCTCTTATTTTTACAGTAAAATGTGTTCGAGTTCCACACACGAATGATGTCTGCTGTGGCTGGGAGTGGCAATGGCTTGGGAGCCAACTTCAATGACGGGATGGACAGGCTGTCAGCCAACCAACAGTAGTTCTGTCTGCACTAAGGAGGCCTACGGAGAGCTCCTCAGAGACCCCCCAGGGGGTCCCTCAGCTCAAGACAACTCCACTATTCTGTTTTCTACACTGAGGAACCTCATAAGATTTTATTTGAAAAAGTACTGTGGCTTAATAGGATACCTGGACAGCAACTGAGATAAAGAAATGACACATAAGCCATCCTCAGTCTAGTCCATTTAACTGGTGGCCACTGGCCTTGATGGAGACTGCAGCCCCAGTAGGATCTACTCAGTCCAAGCTGACAGACAACACAATGCTAACACATCTGCTTCTATGAGCATATCTGAAAACAAAAACAAAAAAATAATATATCCACTCTGACCAGCTGGGCCAAGTGCTCTTAACTCATAGACAGCAGCCATCATATAATGTGCTATCTTTAGCTGGTTCAGGTGCTTACATGAAGCCTCCATCTATGAAGAAGCTGTCACCCTCCCACTCCCCGAGCCTGCTCACCCCCGCCACGTCTTGGTTCTGATGACTGGGGCGGGGGGGCGCAGCAACACCTTGCCCTGCCCGCCCGGCCTACCCCAAGGCTGTGCTTTGTAGCAGAAGATTTGGGCTGTTTCCCTGAGCTCTGTCCAGGCCGGCCTCACACTGCCTGGGAAGGGGAGTGCAACTCACAGTAAGGAACGGGTGTCTGGTGTTCTGGAGGACCCGGCTCTCGGTGACCGTGTGAGCGACTTCATCCTGCAGACAGACTGCGGGTGAGGGGCTGGTGGGCAACACCATGCCTGCTCCCCCACCCCGACCTGAGGAATGGGATCAAGGCCTTGTGAGATACAATTCCACTCCCAGCCATAAATACAGAAACAATGACAGGAGTGGAACATGAGTGCCTGCAAGCCCTCAGCAAGGCACAGACCCAGATGAGGATCGTCAGCAGCTCTCAAAGCCGGAAGTGAAAAGTCAACAGGAATGTCGCAATGAGGGGGAGGGGGCCAGGCTGCTAGGCGCAAGACACCTGTGACACCCCTGCAGGAGAGACAGACCTCACGAGAGCCCCGAGGTGCCGCCACAGACTGTGGGAAGCCCCACCTAGAAAGCACGCTTGCCCAAAGAAGGAACTGAACCTGAGGAAGCTCTACACAGCACAGCAGCACTTCTCAGGGTGCGGTCCCCACACTGGCCACATCAGCACTGCCTGGGAACTGGCAGAAATGCAAATTCCTGGGACCTACCCACAGGCCCTCAGAGTCAGAAACTTGGGGTGGGCCCAGCACTGTCTCACAAGCCCTTTGGGTGACTCTGATTCAGGTCTGAGTTTGGTACCAGGACAGGTTCCGAAAATCTGGAGCCACCTGCAGCAGCTTCAACACGGGCTCTCCCTGGGGCAAGTGTATCCCCAGGGGACACCTGAGAAGGTCTAAAGTCTTTTCTTTTTCTTTTTTAGTTGGGGGTCTGGCTCTGTGACCCAGGCTGGAGTGCAGTGGCATAAACATGGGTCACTACAACCTCAACCTCTGGGACTAAAGTGATCCTCCCACGTCAGCCTCCTGAGCAGCATAGAGGCAGAGGCTCATTTTGTTGCCCAGGCTGGTCTCGAACTCCTGGGCTCTAGCAATCCTCCCACCTCAGCCTTCTAAAGTGCTGGGATTTTAGCCGAGAGCCACAGCACCTGGCCCAAATGTCATTTTTGATTGTCACAACTTGGGGAGCTACTATTGGCTTTAGGGGGTAGAGGCCAGGGGTGCTGCTAAAACCCTACAATGCACAGGGCTGCCCCCACAGCACAGAACAATCTGTCCCAAAACGTCCACAGCGCTGAGGCTGCGGAATGCCGCCTTAGGCCCAATCAGCGCGTCAGGGATGAAGGGTTCATTTTATGGGCTCTGGTGGCAGCACCTCATGATTAGATTCTTCACAGTCTTCATCTTTTGAGACACGTATTTGAGTATGTGTGAGTGGAGTGATGTGACGCCTAGCACATCACTAGACCTTCAAGTATTCCAGAGCAACAGGGGCAGGCGGAGCTAAGGAAACAAGGCTGGCTACATGCTGACAACCGGTGAAACTGGACAGTGGCTAGCTACATGGCGGTCCGCAGTATTGATTTTCTTTTTAAATTTCTGAATATGTTTGGAATCTTCCACCACAAAAACTTCAAATAAGGGGAAAAAACAGAATTCCATTCCTGGCCCGGCTTCCAACTGAGACACCCCAAGCAGAGCCCCGGGCTCCCCAAAGGGACGTCTTCGCAGCCTTCCCAAGAGGCCCCAGCCTCCCTCGATAGTACCTGCTGGGTGAGGCCCCAAGGCTCTCTCTCTACGGTCACCCCCAGCCCCTACCAGAGGGTGGAGGTGGGGTCTCAGAGGATGGAGTCCAGTGAGGATGGAATTTGTGGGGGAAATAAGCCCCGCCCGTGGCAGCAGACAGCGTGGGTAAGCGTCCATGCTTCAGGGTCAGGCTCCAGACCAAAGCCCCCCTCAGAGGCGGGCAAGCGCAATCCCGGGGCACGCACCTTGGCAATGATGACTTCCTTCCGCAGGATCTTCATGGCGTAGTAGCGGCCAGTGGCCTTCTCCCGCACCAGGATGACTTTGCCAAAGGTTCCCTTGCCAAGGAGTTTGAGATAGTCGAAGTCATTCATGGTCTGCCAGGGACAGGGAGAGTGGGGGCAGTCAGTGCCTGGCTCATAGCCCATGGGAGGAAATTTTAACAAAAGAAAGAGGAAAACTAAAAGACACTGTTGCCAAACGGCTTAGGCTGGAGCAGGAAGGGAGGCTCTGGGCAGCAACCGTGTGTTCCGAAGTGGCCTTCAGACCAGGCTCTCCCAGGGACAGGGCCTTGGGAGGACTGGGCTCTGACGTGGGGGTAGCCAGGTCTTCACCTCCTCTCAGGACAAAGCTGCAAAGGGTCCACCCTGGGTTGCTCCCTCCTCCACGGGCATGGAGCAGCTCCTGGGGCACCTGCCACCTAAAATTACCCCACCCTGCAGGGCAGGCCTGTCGTCTCACATCTGAGCCCCCGGAACTGTATGGAAACCAAGGTGATCAGGGCCAACACCGGGGGTGGGGGCATCGCAGGCTGGCAGCCCCACCCCTGCTCCCAGCGCTTACCACTTTGGCCCGTGCCTTGCTGACCGCCACTTCCATCTCCTCGGCCACAGAGGAGTCACTGGGGGAGCCACACTTGTAGTCCATGGGGTCCTCGCCCAGGGCCCGCTGCTTGAGGCTGTTGGCGACCATCTGGATGGCCCGCATCCACTCCTCCCTGTGCAGGGACACACGTGAGTCCCAGGAATCAGGAGTCCTGGGCCTCGGAGTCGAAGGGCTGAGTGCCACCTCCCAGCCACCCCCTGCAACAGGTGAGCAAATGATCATATACCCATGGGAATTTGGGCAAGATCCCTATGAGCCAGAGAGCGCTGAAGGGACCTGAGTGAAATTTCACAGACCCCTGACTGTGATCGTGAGGAGAGGGTAAGCGTGGAATACAAAGAGAGATCACCAATTTCCCTCAAGTGACTCAGCCTTTGGCCCACGTGAAGGCAGGCAGCAGGGAAATGATCAAAGAGGAGTGACCCTCTCTTTTAACAGCCCCTTGAAAATGAGCCACCACGCTGGGCCTTGTTCCGAATTCTTCGGAACAAACGACAAGCTCAAGTTTTTAAGTTACCAATGTTCTGTGAAGGAAAACCAAGAGTAAGAAGCAGCATTCATTAGCCAAAGCTGCTGAAGACATTACAAGGCAAGAGCTGGCCTACAGGACTCCCTGGAGGGGACACTCCATTGGGAGCAGGGAGTATGCATGGCAGGGACAGAGGTCCTGGCAGCCCAGGGGTGTACAGCAGAGAAGCTGGTGGACAGGAAGCAGGTCCCAGCAGAAGGGAGCCTGGTTTAAGAAAAGTCAACAAGAGGCCAAGCACTGTGGCTCACAGCTGTAATCCCAGCATTTTGGGAGGCTGAGGTGGACCCAGTGCTTCAGCCCAAGAGTTCAAGACCAGCTTAGGTAAAAAAGCAAGACCAATCTCTGACAAGTTTTTAAAAAACAAAAATTAAAAAATAAAGAACAGGCTGGGCACGGTGGTTCATGCCTGTAATCCCAGCACTTTGGGAGGCCAACGTGGGCAGATCATGACGTCAGGAGTTTGAGACCAGCCTGGCCCACATAGTGAAACCCCGTCTCTACTAAAAATACAAAAAATTAGCCGGGAGTGGTGGTGGGCACCTGTAATCCCAGCTACTCAGGAGACTGAGGCAGGAGAATTGCTTGGACCTGGAAGGCAGAGGTTGCAGTGAGCCGAGATCGCACCACTGCACTCCAACCTGGGCAACAGAGCAAGACTTTGTCTCAAAAAAATACAAAATAAATAAATAAAGAACAATAAACTAGTTCTGCCACTCATTGTTTAGAACTTCTGGGGAAAGGGCCGGGCATGGTGGCTCATGCCTGTAATCCCAGCACTTTGGGAGGCCGAGGCGGGTGAATCACGAAGTCAGGAGATCAAGACCATCCTGACCAACATGGTGAAACCCCATCTCTACTAAAAAATATATATATACAAAAATTAGCTGGGAGTGGTGGCACACGCCTGCAGTCTCAGCTACTCAGGAGGCTGAGGTAGAAGAATCACTTGAACCTGGGAGGCAGAGACTGCAGTGAGCAGAGATCGAGCCACTGCACTCCAGCCTGGTGACAGAGCCAGACTCTGTCTCAAAAATAAATAAATAGATGGGCACAGTGGCTCACGCCTGTAATCCCAGCACTTTGGGAGGCTGAGGCGGGTGAATCACCTGAGGTCAGGAGTTCAAGACCAGCCTGGCCAACAGAGTGAAACCCTGTCTCTACTAAAAACACAAAACATTATCTGGGCGTGGTGGCAGGCACCTGTAATCTCAGCTACTAGGGAGGCTGAGGCAGGAGGACGGCTTGCATCCAGAAGTTTGAGACCAGCCTAGGCAACATGGATGCCCATTTTGTAGAGACCAAAGATAAAAAATTAGCCAGGTGTGGTGGCACATGCCTACAGTCCCAGCTACTCACAGGGCTAAGGTGAGAGAACAGCTTGAGCCCAGGAGGTGGAGGCTGCAGTAAGCCATGATCATGCCATTGTACTCAGCAAAAAAAAAAAAAAAAAAAAAAAAAAGGAAAAGAATTTTCTTTGGATACTTACAAACTGTTCTGCCTAATAAGTGAAAATGACCAGAGACCAAAATGTAAAAAATACTAGGCTAAATGACACCAAATTGTCCACATCCCCCATTTTTGACCATACCACCATTAGGTGTTTTCAACCCAGTGCATTTTGAATCCCCTCTGTTCAGATGACCCATAGGAAAAGCAAAATCTTCACTAAGAATGAGAAAATTCAAAGAGTGCAAGTAGACAACCTCCCAAACCCCAGTGACTGAAATAAGCCACAGGGAGTGCAGCCAGCTCGAAAGGAGCCAAGAACAGTCCAGCCCTTCTCCCGTATCCTCCAGGATGGCCTCCACCCCAGGTCAGCAGGGAACAAGTGGCTGGGACTGGGCTTCAAAATCCAAGCCGGGACACCCTGCTGGGCTGTTCTCCCGTCCGTTTTCCTTGTGTATCACGAGAGGTTACTTCTACTTCCATACACCCCACCACGCACCCTTTTCTACATTTGACACTGCTGGAATGCAGATGCAGCTCACAGGTGGGGCCTGTCTTCATTTAACTGGGCACCATGTTTCTTGGCACTATATGAAATACGGTGCCTCCCCGGTGACAGCGCCTTCGATTTGGTGAACTGTGACAGCAGTGCTTAAACGCACAGGCTGCTGTGAGGTGGGACGCATGTGAAGCGTCTATGCCATGAGGCATTCCACAGCTGGGGGAAATGCAGGCGGGTCTGCATGCTGACTTGGGACGACCTGAGACCTCTTGAGAAAAAGCAAGGTGCAGGGCGGCCAAGGGAGATGGCTCACTCCTGTAATCCCTGCATTTTGGGACGCAGAGGCAGGAGGATTGCTAGAGCCCAGGAATTCCAGACCAGCCTGGACAACACAGGAAGACCCCGCCTCCATAAAAAATTTCAAAATTGAGCAAGGTGAAAAACAGGACGGGTGCAGTGGCTCACGCCTGTAATCCCAGCACTTTGGGAGGGTGAGGTGGGCAGATCACCTGCAGTTAGGAGTTTGGGTACAGCCTGGCCAACATGGTAAAACCCCATCTCTACTAAAAATACAAAAATTAGCTGGGAGTGGTGGCGGGCGCCTGTAATCCCAGCTACTCAGGAGGTTGAGGCAGGAGAATTGCTTGAACCCCGCAGGCGGAGGTTGCAGTGAGCTGAGATTGTGCCCCTGCACTCCAGCCTGGGTGACAGAGCAAGACTCTGTCTCAAAAAAAAAAAGGGAAAAGAAAGAAAGGTGGTGCTACTGAGTTAGAAAATAATGAACTTCTGCAGACACATGCTCACATAAACACAAACATCTCCAGAAGAGAAGTCATGATCCAGGAGCCCTGCCTGCCTCCAGCGAGGGGAACTGAGGGGAACTGGGAGTCGAGGGAAAGAAACAGCCTCTACTAACAAATGGGAACCACTCGTTATCATCAACCACCCCACACCCCCGCCCATTACGAAGGAGGAACTGAGGCACAGATTAAAAACCCGAATTCCAGAAAAACAGCAGTTGCTCCAGGCCTGGCAGCTGGAATCACAAAAGGCCTGTGGCCTCTCTGAGCCAATGGGCAGGGCAGTTCTCCATGAGCCCCATGGCTTGCTGAACCAAGCAGCAACTAAGCTCAGAGGTCCAGTTAGTACACGTGAGGCTCTGCCTTCTCAAACCGGCCACACTCACACAAGACCATGCTTTGCAAGACAAATGCGCAAATACCGTGCCATGCTTTGTAAGACAGGTGCATATGCGTCAAGTGCTGGCACGATGCCCTCCCTACCTACCCAGTGACTGGAGTCCCCATAACCCATCTATGTCCACCCCACAGAGGCAAAGATTTCTACCTGTTTTGAACATGCTTCTGCCCCTGGAACTCACGGTGGCTACTCGGCAGATATTTAGGTAATGAATGAGCAAGGCAGCCAAAGTCCAAGTGGGCCCAGAGCCAGGGCGAAGCAAGGCCCAGTGCAGACCCGGGCAGAGCACATACTGAGCCCTGGTGCATGCCCAGGCAGAGCGGTGCTGGCTTCTGTACTCCCTGACCCAACGTCTCAAGCCAGCATTTCTCAACTTGGTTTAACCCATGCCCCCTTTGGAACAATAAACAGCCTAATTCCCAAACCCTACACTAATATTCCTGTTTTTCAAAAAACGGGGGGTGGGGAAGGGGCAGGAGCAGATTCCATGACTTTTTTTTTTTTTTTTTTGAGATGGAGTCTCACTCACTCTGTCACCAGGCTGCAGTGCAGTGGCACGATCTTGGCTCACTGCAACCTCCACCTCTCAGGTTCAAGTGATTCTCCTACCTCAGCCTCCTGAGTAGCTGGGACTACAGGTGCCCGCCACCACGCTCAGCTAATTTTGTATTTTTAGTAGAGACAGGGTTTCACTATGTTGGCCAGGATGGTCTCGATCTTTTGATCTCATGATCCGCCTGCCTCAGCCTCCCAAAGTGCTGGGATTACCGGCATGAGCCACTGTGCCCGGCCTTCCATGACACGCTTTATCAGACACAGTTGTCCTCTCACAAATTTTAAATGTGTTTAATGCTGACTCTGAGTAAAAGCTGGTGGACTGGAGGAAAAAATAACATGGATCTTCTAAGAGATACAGTGAATATATTAAAAAGAAAAATATGTCTCTGATACACAAAGATGTTGAGAGACTGTCATGTGAAGATGGCAGATTGCAGACTAAGATGTAGAGTGTGATATCATCTTTGTTTTCAAAGAGGGGGTGGAGAGAACACAGATGGTCCCTCTGTGGAGAGAACCTGAATATGTGAAGGACAGCGCAGTCACACTACCAGCCCTGTTCCGGGAGGCTACTCCGGATGGGAATCAGGAGCACAGGCCCTGGAGCCACCCCAGCTGGGGCTCTAAGTGGCTCTGCCACGTGGACGAGCTCCGCCCTCCCAGCTCTCCCCTCTGCCAGGGCCTGGGGCTAAGAGGTTGGTGGGCTGCAGGTACAGGGCACTGCGCACGTGACTGGGTGAAGCAGACTCAACTAGGAGAGGGTGCTGAAGACACCGGCAGGGGCGAACCTCCCTCACCTACCCTGGCTCCCACTGCCCAACCTACAGAGAGCTCCAGAAACCACAGCGATGCAGGAGGCTGTCCAGGAGTAACTGGG